GCACACACAAACACACACACACACACAAACACACACACACACACACACACACTCATTCGATGACGTTCCTACCTCTTTTCGCCTCCTGGACAATGTCCAACTCTACGTTCCGGTAGAGGGCCGGGTGCAGAGCCTTGGCGATCCGGTACGGCACAGGGGGAGAGGAGACCCCGCACAGTTTCTAAAGATGGTGACAGAAAAAAAGGATTTTGTTTTAGTTTAGAAACTGTTTTACGTACTTGCAACCCAATACGGTCATATAAGTGCTGAAGATAAGGTGTTACAAGAGAGTAACACAGATTTTTTGAAAAGTAAGAGAGATTTGTTTTAGTAGAGGTTCTATGGCGCTCGCAACTGCATAAGGTCATATGAACGCCAGAAGATTAGAGGTGTTACCAGAGAGTAACAAACATAAAAAAGAAGGAGGGCAGATACGGACGATAAGATGTTTGATAGGAAAGAAGAAGCAACCCACACCAGAGCACCCGCCAACCAGATAAGGACGATAAGATGTTGGATAGGAAAGAAACAAACCACACTAGATCATCCAAACAAAATAAAGATTTTTTTCTGAGATAGATCTATGTATATTTCGTGCATTTCAAAATTAAAGAAGTAGATTTATATGAGAAAGGGAGATGCTCAGATACAGGTTGTATAATAAGATCCAAAAGGAGGAAACATACATTTGAATCGGAATTTTACATTGATTATTTTGTTGCCTTAAATAAAAAGAAAAAACGAAGAAAGGAGGGCAAGGTTGGAAAAATGCCTCAGCAGGATACGAACTTGCTTCTTCAAAAGTCTAATTACCATTCGTCGGAAAGGCCCTCAACAGCTCTAAGCCCAGAAAACAAAATTTTGAGAAAATATCGCTTCATTTTGTTAACATTTCTACCTTATTCAAGTACCTGTTCTTGCCTTTTTCAACATTTAAAATTTGAATCTTCACATATTATAAATATTTTATTATAACCTGCAACTAATACCACAGACTAAAAAACTAGAATATTTTTTTTCTTCAAAGTTTGGACTTAGTACCTTTTGACAGCTGACCGACGCAATACAGATTGGATGACAGCCAATCTGAGTTCGTTTAGTTATTTAAAAGTAAGCGTTTTACGGCGCTGGAAAGACATACAGGTCATTATAAGCTCCGAAGATCACAGGTGTTATTGGAAATAACACAAAGAATAAAAGAGAAAATGGGGATACAATATTATTATATTCGATAGAAAAGTATTAAAGAATCATAGTAAAGCACGCGTCAACAACCCACAAACATTGCGAAACCAGGAGGGTGTCCTTGTTGGCTAAAACAGCATCTGGACATGGATGGCTATAAATAAATTATTAATGGTCAAGTGGTCAGGGGTGTCCTTGTTGAAGAGACTTCATGTTAAAGGCAAATACATTCAACTCAGTTGTCTCTCGTGTTCCCCTTCGATAAGATTTGTGAAGGCATAAACGGCATAAAAGACAAAGGTATTGGAACTTCGACAAAAGGAACACAGTTCCTAGTTGTAACAAGTACATTGTACATTATGCTATTTATCCAGCAAACTGTCTCAAATGACCTAAATTAATGGATTCGGGACGCACGCGCGCGCACGCGCGCGTGTGTGTGTGTGTGTG